ATTCTTTCTAATGGCATTGGGGAAGAAGCTGCTCTGGAATCTGCTGGACCTGCATCAGATGCTTGGAGGCCTCTTCTCCCCGCTGCCCTCTGGGAAGCCTCCGATGCAGGTCCAGCTTCTTCCCCACTGCCATTAGACAGCTGATTGTTTAATTAAACGACAAAGAACAAAAAAAGTGCTGAATGTTGGAAAACTGTAAATCATATCTCAGTATTGTGTTTATATTTGATCACTGCTGCACTTTAAGAAATGTTAATGCCTTCAGAACCGTACTGAATGAAATTTCAAATGAGAATAAAGTTTGTCTAAGTCGATTACTATGCACTGCACATTTGGGAACCATGACAACATGAGGAGTATAATCTATTCTAACTCCGGTGGGAAGATAGTTTACGAAGATGAACCAGTTTTTTTTGTAACTCTAGTTAAAAGTTTGTTCCCTAAATCTGAATACAGTCATAACCTGACTGTATCCCATTATACCTTTGGAATAAACTCAGAAACCTCTTTAAAAGGGAATTTGTTTGTGTTCAGAATGTTATGTAATAAAAGCAACAGAAACCAAAACTTTTGTTGTTCCTTAAACTTGCAGCTCTGAATATAAAACAGAAATCTATTCAGATGCTGCAGGAACACATCTAGAATATTCTCACTCTCTTTCCCATGCCCTGTGTGCACTATGGCCGCACCCATAGAGCCCATAGTGCAGCCAGTTACTGCTCCTACTCAGTCTAAGGTGTAAAGGTGGTGTCATGGCTGAACTTTGTCCTTTTTTTCTTGTAATCTTTCAGAAAAACAGTCACTACCTCATTATTCAACACTCCACCATGTAAACAGCACAGAGCTTCAAAGACCTGAGCTGACTTTGATTTTAGGGGAACATGAACTGCAACCAGAATCAACTCTCTGACTTTAAGTCAAACTAAAAACATCTTTGACCCAAACTGTTGTGTTTAGAGCAAAGATGCTGATTAGATGATCAATGCGGCCATCAGTGTCCTAGAATAAAACCTCAGCATGGTTTTAGAGGCTGAGCTTCATTGAGTAAGGTTTTGCAATTGTACAAACCGCTTCTGATTTATATTTGATACACATCTGTTTTTTATTCATTTATGCAGGCAGAGTTTGAGTATGAAAGTTTGCAGCATTCCTTGGTTTGCAGCCCCAACATCAAACTGAATCATGAAGGTGAGTTTTACCTTTTATCTCAGACAGTCAGGAAAACATGAGGAGCTTTAGCTGAGACTACACTGCAAAAATGATCTAAAAATGATAAACATTTCTTTAAAAGACTGTGTTTACCCTTAATTGAGTAGTTAAATAAGATAATTTGCCAATGGAATTAGTATTTTCATCCTTAAATAAGATAATTAGACATTAGTCACTTGAAATAAGAGACTGCAGTTGTTTTTTCCTATTTTAAATGAAAATATTTTCATTCTCACTTACCTGCCCATTTAAAAGAATCACTTATTTAAAACAAATTTTACTTAGATTAGATGTTTTCAATGTAGAGTTACAACTAACCTTAGTCCTTCATAAAGAAACACTTTCTGACCTGCAAATGATAGATCTGTTAAAACTCTAGATGTAATCTAATCTATTATTGCAGTTGCAAAATAGTGTTCAAAGTTAAAAATGTATCTTTGAATCCAAAGATATTTAAAAGAAAAAATGTTTGGAAAAATTCTTTTATACAAAATCAGAGATGCCACCTACTGCTGCTAAAACATCTTCTAGTGATGATAACTGGACAATTTTGTTCTATAAAGTTAATATTTTATTTTATACAAAAGTAGGTTCTGGGCGTGCAGGTGTCGCAGTGGTTAGTGCGCACGACACATGTACGGAGGCCTTAGT